TAACATCACGCGGGCGAAGTCGCGAGCAACAGCTAGTATTTTATAATATCTTTAACGTCAAAAAACGTGTTTTACTTGCTAATATTATAATCAAGACAAACAACTTAATGACTATAATGAAAACCTTTAATGGCGGTAAACTTTCAGCAAGCTGCTAAAACAATTTACATATTCAAATGCCGTCTGCAAATTAGCAATTTAACAATAAATTTAGTCAAAGTTTTATAGTTCAAATGCTTGCTAAGTGTTTGATTAATTTGAAAATAAATCAAAAGGCTGTTCAGAAAGTTATTTAGCTATTTGGAATCAGAGTAGCGTAATAAAAAAAATAGTAATATAAATGCGAAAGTTTAGATGGATGTTTGTTAGAGTTTATAACCTAAACTGCTGAATGGATTTCGATTAAATTTGGTTAAGATGTAGAGGATAGTCTCGAAAAACACATAACTCATTTTTTTTACTTTCACTCGAAAGGAGTCGCAGGCGAAAGCTAGTTAAATTAATAAAATTCAGTCGATTCAAAAGAAAGTAATCTTGGATCACTAGGACGGGTTCTTACTACATCTTCTTTCTTTTCTTTTCTTCTAGCTTAAACATATAAGTAAAGTATGAGATTGTAAGTAATATGACTGTACTATAAAAATATCTTAACTACTAGTAGTCGACATGATAAACGAGAAATCGCTTGTATACTGCGACGGTAAGTGATTCATCTAACTGCTTCCGAATTCGATTCATTCTTAGCTGATACGTGTGTAGCATTAAACAGCACGTCTGGAAGAAAATGGACCGAAATCCTGCATTACATCTGTCGGTACATATAAGCGCTTGAATTCTTAGAGTATTACTCGAGTCTAGCTTACAAGATTAAAAAAAGTATATAGCCTATGTGTTCTTCCAGACGTTTCTCTGCATTTATACAAAATTTTATTAACATCCGTTCAGCCAGGTTAAGCTGCAAACTCTAACAAACATCCATCCAAACATTCGCATTTATAATATTAGTAAGATAATGATTATTTCAGAGAAATAACCATCAATCCACTAATCAATTTTTACTATAAAATTATATTAACACGCCTTTCAGTATCTACGAAAAACCAGATATATTAATTTGTTTGTATCAGCACAACAAATATCTTAAATTGGAAGGTCTTTACCTGGCGCCATCTATATTCCCAAGTCAATAATATTTACATGAGGTTTCCGATTTGTATTGAATACAGTTATTATGTACACAATTACAATCAAATTACCAATTCATAGAGAGTATTGTCCAATTCTTGATACAAGGATGAAAGGTAACGATAATTGTATTTGATTTTATTTCAGTAAAGGTTCTGTAACCTTTAGCCTCTGTAGGCGGCAGTCGGAATTCCGATAATCTATCCCACACGGTAATTGTAGTCTGGTTTTAGAATCTTCATCATACAAATAATGTTTTAAATTACTGCTCTGATGCTGGCTGGCTTCATCATCACCAGCTCACTATACGTCCCCACCGAGGGGCTCGGAGCCTACCCTAAAGTTAGGGTGACTAGGCCATAGTCAACCACGCTGGCCAAGTGCGGGTTGGTTGACTTGAGTTTCTTCGCCGATATGTGCAGGCATCACGATGTTTTCCTTCACCGTAAGAACGTCGGGTAAATTATGTACATATGAAAATTCGAAAAATCGAAAATCACATTGGTACAGCGGGATTCGAACCCAAGACCTGTATATTATAAGTCAAGTGCCTTAACCACTGAGCCACCGACGCTCAGCTCAGCTGGCTGGCTTAAGGCAGCCAAAAGAGTTTGTGAAAAAAACTGAAGACACCGAAAGATTGAATCTGGTCAGGAGAGAACTTAATAGATCAAAACAAAGAATGAATGGATTAACCATAGTGGTATAACATGTCTCTTTGGGTCACTCAAGTAGTTAAAACTACAAGTCGTGTCATATTTAGCACAACCAATAAAGTATTATAGGTCAAGACTATTAAAACGAAAAATTTAATAGTAGTTTTACGTTACTACGAAACATCACATAAAAGTTAGAGATATTCTAAAGTGTGGATTTTAAGAGTTTGCTCCAAAGAGGGATGTATTTCGTTAGTATATTATAGGATAGTGTTGTCCTTTATACTTAGCTCTGTTGAAGCTGGAATCAGTTTTATGGAGGGAACGTGAGACTGAACCCGCGTACTTAGCCGCTCGTAAATCTGTCCAATGCCCGTACCTATTTTACAGCAACATCTACTAAACTATTACGAAGCAGTCGCGACACATACAAATATCCATTACGTTTGTTATTCAGGTCTCCCAATAGCATGTGATTAACTTTTAAATGCAGTTTTAAAGCAAATTACTACAACTGCGTCGTTATTATCCTCGTCAATATCTGCTTACTTCTCATTGAGGAGCTCGGAGCCTACCCTGAGTATTGTTGACTAGGCTGGTCGTGGTTGCATCACGATGTTTTATTTCTCGATATAATCCGCATTTACTTTCTTTGTAATATTAAGATGTTGTTGTGTATTGGTTTTGACAGTGGTAGAGCCCGCTTTAACATCTTTGCACGAATGGGCCGGCTCGCCCGGTGTAATTCCACGATTGGAAGCAACTCCGCGTTTCGTCTGATGAGTGTGGTGCCGGAGGCCTAATTTAAGTCCCTTTCTCTTTACCATCCTTTTCTTATAAGGAGAGGATGGGAAGAGGAAGTGGATTTTACGATCGAGGAGATGGATAGTAAGGGGAAATGTCCTCTTTATGTGCGTCTCCTCCTCTGTCATTTAACGATAGGCAACGCATCTGCAATTGCGGATGTTTATGGGCAGCGGTCGCTTTCCATTTCGGTGAATTCAGCTGGCCTCTTGCTTGCCACCTTAAATTTTAAAAAATTAAGGTTTTTTTATAACATTCTGTAGTAACTATGAAACTGTAACAAACATACAACTGACAAATATCACTAAAAATTACGAAAAGCTTCGAGTGAAAAAAAGGAATTGAAATCTGACAACGGAATTGCAGTATTCAGGGAACGCAGCGCTCTGATTCGGGTCGCACGTTGGAATCCTACGACAACCAAAAAAGCGAACGCCGAATGAAAGCCGACAACTTTCTACCTTTTTTTCCTATACGGTCGACAGTCTTTTATTTTTACCCTCGCGTTTCACGCTCCCAGCATTGACTGGTCCGCACTGATACATGGCGGACAATGTTCTATTTACAGTATACACTTAAAAGCTGTATTTACAGCTCTTTGATAATCGCCTTCAGTATTATAAAAGAATTAGCAGTTGATGCAAGAGATTGTAATAGGTCTATACTTCTATACTAATATTATAAAGAGGAAAGATTTGTATTTTTTATGTATTGAAATGACTTGAAAACTACTGGACTGATTACAAAATTTTTACACCTTTAAAAAGCTATGATATCAGTGAGAAACATAGGATAGAATTTTTATTATTTTTTAACTTCACGCGGGCGAAGTCGCTAACAGCAGCTAGTAAAGAAAACATATGCTAAATTAAAATACAAACCTAATTTAATAAAGCATAAACTGGAGGCTTTATTCATCAATAAACGAGTAGCTAGTAAGATCAATACAGATTTATACTTTCCAATATTAAAATACCGTAAAGATCCGATGAGTTCAAGCGACTTTCACGTGACGTCATAAAATTTTTCATAATGTCGACCACAGATGTTATATTAAATTTTAAATATCGAACGCCGCGATCGGCCGTCGTTCAATTTGCCGCGAAATCTCGATCATGACAGCTTTAGGGCGCGTATACACGGTGATAAAATAATCGACGGCAGCCGATCGTACGATATAAAGATTGGAGCGAATGATTCCATCTCGTTCGCGTCGTTTATTGTTATTTGACTGCTTTATTGCCGATCATGGCCTTATTTTTTCTCAATCGAAAACGTTCGTACGTCGTTCGAAGAGACGTCTTTATCATACAAACGTATGCTTTACATTGATTGAACTATCCTGAATTTATTTCATTGATTCGCTTAAATAGCGAAATAACAGCTGCCTATAGACATCCGTAAAATCCGTTGGTTACTATTAATCGACAAAGGGGACAGACAGAAGACATACTTTAATTCTAACCTTGAAAAAAAATTCTGAAGATTTGTGGAAATTAATAATTGAAAAGAATAAATGTGAATAGTAATAAATAGGTACAATTATTATTATAAAGAATCTAATTGGCACTTATTTTCCTTACGTTTTTCCTTATTTGTATAAACAATGTTCTAGCAAACATCAAAGTATCAAATGTTTTGTCAACAAAAGAAATCAAACGAATAATTAACGACTTTCTGTATAGGATCGTATTCATTTCACTCAACAATGTTTAATGTTTTTGTACCTCTTTTCTTTTAAAGCAAATTGAACCATAATTACTTGTACGTAAACAATTCATGTTTGCCAAACAAAATATATTAAAAAATTCGCTCCAATTTATTCGGAAACCGTAAAGTTTCCGATACGAAAAAAGCTATCAAAGAACATTTTCCCCGTGTTCTGCGCGGAGTGTGGAAACCATCAAAATTCAAGCCAGTTTTCCCGAACCGACGATATTGTGAGATACCTTATATTAAACTGTAATAAAACTCCCCATCTCTAATATAATTTCGCGTCCTGGACCAAATCTAAGGCTGCAGACACACCGGTAGCGCGAAATATGTCGCACCATTTTAATTAACCTATATTCATATGAAACCAAATTCACTACAACGGAATGAGACTATGCCCAATATTGTATATGTATTCATAGACTTCGCTTGTGAGAAAAACACTCCACTAGTATTAATTGTATTCCATTTTACAAAAAATTAAAAGATCTAAACAACGTGATTATGTCATGTAATTTTATATTTAAATACTTTCGCAATATTATTAGCTAGGCAAAAACTTGACAAAGAAGTAGTTCCAGTGTGTAATACCCCTAAGTCAAACGGCAGTCGCGCGGCGGCGCTGTCGGCAATCAATCGATAGAACCCGGTTGCCAAGCAACGATCGTGTTGCAAAATAAACAATCAGAATCGGGCTCGGCCGTGAGCAAATTTGCTTTCTTATTTTATTACTTGTGTCAACATTTTAGATCGATATTATCGGATTATTTACTCCCCTACGTTGTATCATGATATTTTGATTCTTATATTGCAAACATGGTGTTGTTACCGCCTTGCGTTCCGGATACGTGCGGGAAGGATTTCCGTAACTCGTTGCATAAGCCGAGCCCGAACTATCCTTATGGGAGGACGAAGAGGAAACCTCGGATCGTGCCTGCGTTCACGATACAAGCAATGCAGAAGAACACGAAAGTCAAGCCACCTCCTAAATGCGGCGTGTACACCCCCTTGCCCGTCAGACCAACTATGTTTAGAGCCTGTTATGATAGAGGCGAATTTCCTCTTTCCATTGAATTCATCGCTAACGGGAAAAAGCTTTCTTGGAAGGTACTGTACACGTGTTATTTAGGGTCCGTTGTCAGTTCCGGGTTGGGTTTCATTGTAGTATTATATGATTTAGTCATTTCTATTATTTTGTATGTCTGTGAATATGAAGATATTTAAATTGTAACAGCTCCTTTAAGTCCTCATAGTTGTTGATTTTTTTGGATCTGTCATAAATTATTATGTCAATACTGATAGTTCTAAAACTCATTCACCAAAACAAATAGAAAACAAGAACAGATATAGAACTTCCCCTAATTCCGTCGTCAAAATCACTATCAAAATCTAAAAGCAGATTAAATCTAAGCTCGGCTTTAACGCCCTTTGTGGGCTGTTAGACTTCCTACAGCTTTGTCTGTTACAATCCATTTGTTAGTCTAAATGGAATTTTGTTACATTCAGTGAATATCTATTACACGACTAAAAATAATAAAATTCATTTGAAATTTGTATTGCAAAATTTTAATTATAAAGCTTAAAGGAGGTAATCGATTCAAAGATATTAACATGTCTTAATAATTTTCAGGTTCCTGTAGAAAAATTGGATTTTCATCATTACCTACCGATATTCTTTGACGGTCTCGCTGAATCTGATTACCCGTTCACATTCATAGTGGAGCAAGGAATCCACGACCTGATTACAAGAGGGGCGCACAAAGTCTTGCCTGTGGTACCCCAAATTATAATACCAATTAAAAGTAAGTTATTATAGGAACGCTTTAATTTTATATAGATGCATGAATCGTAGATTATTTTTTTATTCACTTTTATTAAAAGTTTATTTTGAAATTATATAAATAATTATAAAGTTGATAAGAAGATTTTTTTATATCAACTGACTTAATATTTAAAAAAATGTAAGAAACATTGAGTGCTTGTGTATATCTATCGTAATATTACAAAGAGGAAAAATTTGTACATTTTGGATTTTTGTACTATAATAACTCAAAAACTACTGGACCGATTTCAAAAATTTTTGCACCATTTAAAAGCTATGTTACCGCTAACGTATGCTTTTACTATTAATAATAACACCGATGACTTACAATATGTGTTCTCGTGCGAAATATGTCATTCGTTCTATTCGTTTAGTTACATTGAACTGTCTTCTACCCTTATACAGATGCGATGGCGACGAAGCGACCCACCGTGATATGCCATGCGCTACGCTGTTTGCAAATGCTGGCTACATACTGCGACCACGTAGGGGAAGCGCTCGTCCCCTACTACCGACAAATATTACCTATGCTTAATTTATTTAAAGACAAAAACAGTGAGTATATGTCTTTAAATGATTAGTCTATTCATTTATTGCTATCAGGAGAAGAAATTAATCCGCCACAGACTACAGAATTTTAATCAGCCGATAGTTTGGACTGTCAATCAAAAATAAAAAAATCGGTGCAATGTTATTTGTGCATTACATTTTGACATTTGCAATGGAATACTTTAGCAATAAACTAAAGTTAAATTATTACTAATTTCAGTATCTAGAATCGTTGGTGTTAACAAGATCGTGTGACCCGAACCTCTCTCTCAGTGAGAACAGGATAAAAGCTCTCGCTGGATTCTTTGGTACATACACAAGAGATGGGCTAAAATATCGGTCGATGAAGTCTGTAGTGCTAGGCTTAAATTGTTTTTAAAGAAACATTTGTCAGAACTCTTACAAGTAATATCGATGTGTTTATTAACATCGATGCTACAATGTAGACTTAGTATACGATGTAGACAATTAAATGGTCTGCCAGAGGGTTTGCTCGGCAAGGTTATTGATTACGTCCAGTTGCAGTACAACTTCATTTATGTCGACACTCGCAACTGTCTCAGTAACATGTGTTGGACAACTGTATTGGATTAGGCTTACTGTTCTATATTTGTCATGTTACGTGCTTGGAATACGATAGTGTTGATGGTAGAATTCGAATTTAATTAATCATACTTAATACTTCTATACTAATATTATAAAGAAGAAAGATTTGTATTTTTGTATTTTTGTATGTAATGAATTAACTCAAAAACTACTGGGCCGATTTCAAAATTTCTTCTATCATTAAAAAGGTCTTTTGTCTGTGAGTAACTTAATTATTTTAATTTCACGCTGGTGAAGTCGCGACCAACAGCTGGTATGTTATAAATGCGAAAGTTTAGATGGATGGATGGATGGATGTTGTTTAGAGTCTGTATCTTAAACAACGGATTTCGATGTAATTTGGCATAGACGTAGAGAATAGTCCAGAAGAACACATAGGCTACTCAATTTTTTTTTAATTCCACGCGGACGGAGTGGCGGGCTAGAGCTAGTGGTAGAATACATTGAAGCTTGTGTACTAACCAAAAATAACTTTAAGAGCGTGCGCACCTGATACTATGGGATAGTAACTGTTTAGTCTCGCTTTGATTCCTATGACCTTATATAGTTTGCAATTTGACAATCGCACAACAGTTGTGCGATAGTTTAGTCAAAAGTGTGCGCCCACTCTAACAGTTTTCATCGTAAGTCAAGCAATTTATACCTTAAGCGACTACAACTGTCTGTTTTATCAATGTGACTAGCATGGTATGTTGAGAATGTCCGCAACAATTTGCGACACCCCAAATACTCTGACGCCTTCGCTCCAACTTCCGAGTAATTTATCTTCGAAGCGACAAGTTCATTATAGCGGAAACAATACCGCGATTATATTGTGATGTTCGATATTTCCCTGCTCTACTTTCTTTCTATTTAATAACCCACTATATTTTGCAACATTGAAAATATAATTTTTTACGGCTGAATTTGATCACGAATTAAAACACTGCTTCGTAAGCGATGCTTAGAATCGTAATCATATAAATGTAATTTAGTAAGAATTGTGTTCTATGTCACTAATTCTAGAGGTTTTAGAGGACAAATATATTTTTTCTCATGGAAATTTGCAGCTAATTTGCATACAGAAAGTGATGTAATAAAGAAGTGAATAGTCCCGAGGCTAGGATTCTTATATCGTTGGTATAGTGTTTACATTATTTGTGTTGTAACAGTACTAGCTGTAACTCACGACTTCGTACGTGCGGTAGAAGCAAACATACGAACTCAAGATTTTTAGAACAAACTATATATCCCTCTGGAACCTAACATTTTTTGGTGGATGAACCGTATCCCATGTGTTAATCCAGACTATAAATGTATACCAAATTTCAATAAAATGTGTTGAACCGTTGCAAATTTATAGAGTAAACATAAAGAAATGAACATATCCCACGGGAACCATAACTATTTCTAAGATCAAAAGTAGTCATGTGTTCCAGACTATCCTCTACATCTGTGCCAAATTTTGTCCAGATCCGTTCAGCTGTTTAGGCTACAAACTCTAACAAACATCCATTCATCTAAACTTTGGCATTTATGATATTAGTATGATTTTATTTTTTAAATTTCAGATAACATGGGCGCGGGTATCGACTGTACTACATCGCGCGGAGAGAATGTTGGGGACTTGATAGAAGAAACTCTTCAATGCTTAGAACGCTACGGTGGTCCGGACGCATTTATAAATATAAAATACATGATACCCACCTATGAGTCTTGTATGCAAAATTAATATAATTTAGACTTGTTATCACTTTTTTCGGGAATTAATTGCTTTTATTGCGATATCTAAATTTTAGCTTGCGTAGCTTTAATGTAATTCACAAATATGCTAATTTTTATAGTATGCGAGTTATGTAAAAAGTTTTTAGCTAAATTAAAGACAGATGTTGCACGGTATTTATTTAATAACTAGGAGTTATGTAAAGATTGGATATTTTACGAACATTTTTTCTTGGACTTAATTGCTCTACATAGGGCATTAATATTGGGTTACGTAAAATACACATTTATTTAAGAAATCTTAGCAAATTTATTTGACGAATATAGTTGTAATGATATAGTAAAATTTTAGTATTTCATATTAGAAAAAAATTACTTTATTTAGGTAAATGATTAAATTATTGACGTGAAATATTATATTAAAGTTTGCTAATGAATAATATTAGGCATTTTTTACTTTAAATTGAGTAATGCATATTTTTTAATATGATTCATTGTAATCGTTTGTTGTTTTTTTTAGTAATTTGTTAAATTGCTCAAATGTAGATTGTGATATTTTTACATGAATGTTGTCTAAATCTTTGTTTGTCTTTTGTTTTTGTTAGTATTTTTCTTGTTTTTAATACATTGAATATTACAACATTGGTGTTTTAATTTGAACCTAGAATTAAATTTTTTCAACGATATTTTAATTATAAATTATTTTTTTAATATAAATCTTGTACTCTAAATTTTCTCATAACATCTTATTAACTAAAATATTCATGTGAAAACATTAATTTACGTATAGATCGACAAGAATATCTGAAGCGGTGGGCATTAGTTAAACTTAATTCTGATAATAAGCGCCCTCATGTCTATTTCGAGAAAATTTCTCAAGATCCTTTTCGGACTATAGCTATCATTTTCTATTTTCATGTAGGTTTTAAATATTACGAGCTGTTGCCCCCGACTTCGTCCGCGTGGTATTAGAAAACATACGAACTATCCCTCGGGAACCGGACATTTCTCGGAGATGAAGCTTATCCCATGTGTACTCCAGACTTTGTTTTATATCTGTGCTAACTTTCAATAAGATATGTTGAACCGTTGCAGAATGATCGAGTAACAAATCAAATTAATGAATCCCACGGGAACCGTAACTATTCCCTTGATAAAAAGTAGCCTATGTGTTCTTCCAGACTATGCTCTAAACCTGTGCCAAATTTCATGGAGATCTGTTCAGCCGTATGGGCTACAAACGCTAACAAACATCCATCCATCCATCTAAACTTTCGCATTTATAATATTAGTAAGATGTGACAGATATAGCGAAATAACTGACTCTCATCGAACCAGATAACCTTGTTTAAATACAAATAAACGACCAATATTATAATGTTTACATTCAACTAATAATCATTGTGTTTAATTAATCCCGTATCGTTATTGTTAAATAAATAGATGCAACCAGCGTCATTGCTAGATAAATTACATGACGGATGGAATAGTTAACAAGGGTATTGAGTACATTAATGCGGTCTACAACGTAACCTCTAGGGAGCGTCACGTCAATATTTGGATCAACCGGAGCCAAAGCAATTTACAAGCGAAGCAAAATGTACAGCTCTATGCATGTATGCATGCAATTTGCATTTCAAGTTCCTTCAGTTTCGGTGCGGCTAACCTATGCATGTAAGTTGTTTGAGCCACTCGCCTCTTTGTCACATGTAGACATGATCGATATGCTTGTACTACTTTTTTATATAGTTAACATAAACATCATCTCCTTTTTTATAGAGTCAAATGCCTTATCCATACTCCTTGTACGGGGGACGCAAAGTTATGTGGCATTCTCCCCATAATGGGGCATACCCACTAAACCTCTGGTTTCTCCTACGCATGGCTACGTGGCTACTGTTAGCACTCAATTCAGATCTTGATAAAATCTGGCATAGACTTAGAGGATAGTCTGTAAGAACACATAGGCTACTTTATTTTGATTTTTTTTTACACGTAATGGATTCGCGGGAGAAAGCTAGTATTGAATAAATACATTTTTACGAGACATTTCAATAAGCCTAAAATAACTATGTTCATGGTAAAATTGCTTGTTAAAATTGTTTTCAGCATTTTCTTGTGTAATATAAAACGCGCCGAGACTCAATTCCACAGAAGGTAGACTCATTTGAAATACGAGACATCAAAGGCCTTTGGTCCATTGCCACTTTCATATCGAGTGTAGACGACATTTTACAATTTCTTTACTTCATATGTTATATTGAACATGGTGATATACAAAGGAAATGAAGTCTATTGAAAAATTGTTTTTCACGGCGTGATTGTTAAGAGTGAGCGTACACCTTTGACTAAACTATAGCACGACAGTTCTGCGATTGTCGATTGTTTCGTTGCCAATTAACACAAGTTGCACATTTAAAAATCGAGATGGAATCAAAGCGAGATATAAAAGTTATGAGATTTAGTTAAAGGTGTGCTCACTCTTGTTGGTCTCGACTTCATTTATCAGTTTGTCGCAGCGATGCGATAGTCCGAATACAGGGCGACACCTTTTTAGACGACCAACATTTATTACATGAGTACAAGGATTTAGAGAAAATGGATGTGGCACTAATAAACATCGAATTAACAAACGCTCCTTCTAATATCGTTTTTATTTAGCGATATCACAATACTGCTTTATCTACGATGTATCTCTGTTTTGATAACGAAAATCGCTTTAAAAAATTTTCGGTCTGTATGTCTGTCTGCAAGCCTTGTTTGTTCCGTGTAAACTTCGAAACGGCTGGGCCGATTTTGAGTGAACTTTCACTGAAGGGTAGCTGACGTAGACGGACATATTATAGGCTACTTTTTATCTTAATATTGTACAAAGTCTCGGGCAACAACTAGTTAAAGATAAACGTGAAAAATCTATACTGTTTACTACCATTAGACTTTTGTTATTCCAATGTTATAAAGAAACAAAACATACCTAAATAGAGTTGAAATTATTTTGTACAAAAATCAAGATTATACAAAAATGTAATCTCATCCAGATTTAAAGATCTATGTAAGAGCGTCTCCGTCGCAAATAATTTGTCTTGGGGACAATCAGGACGGTAATTTTCGTAAGAAGTGCACTACAGAACTATTTCTGTCTCGCCTTAAGTTTCATTGTTCCTTGTAAATTACAATACTCTTTCATTTATTCATTTTTAATCATAAAATTCGCCCAAAAATACCAAGATAAATGGTCCCTTTCATTAGAAATGTCTTTAAAAATACATTTTTAACTTAGGTAACTATAAAGCATATTTAATTGCAACAATAAATAAGCAAACGGCAACAAAATTAAGTTAGGATGAACTATCTACGAAAAACTGTTTTTACTTGACCTGAACTTAAATAAAATAGTAGTATATAAACTATCGTTGATGGAAAGCAATTTATTAAGACATAATAACCTCACTACACTTCTGAAGACTGAAGATAATACAAAAATATTAATACACACAAAGCCAAAGCCGAAGTCGTCGCTAAAACACTGGAAAGCACTAAAAGAGCGCTATCTCTCGTTCCACGCAATAAATGCTGGCAGAAAAATCGCAACGATTAATATGGCTGCGGGACTGTAATGCCATATTTTTCATTATTATATGCTCATTAAAGAAAGGCAGGGTAAAATCGGATCACGAGGAAGGGAAAGACGCAAGAGAAGATATTTTATTCAATCAACCGACAGGCGCGATATTTAAGTTTGTATCAATTTCAATTTGAAAATGAAGTTTAGGACCGTTGTAAAATCATTATTTAATACGAGCTGTTGCCCGCGACTTCGTCCGCGTGGTATTAGAAAACATACGAACTATATAAATAACAAAAAGCTACGTATCCCTCGGGAACCGGACACCTCGGGGATGAAGCTTATCCCATGTATACTCCAGACTTTGTTTTACATCTGTGCCAAATTTTAATAAGATTTGTTGAACCGTTGCAGAATGATCGAGTAAACATTAAAAAACTAAATTAGTGAATCCCACGGGAACCGTAACTTATCCCGGGATAAAAAGTAGCCTATGTGTTCTTCCAGACTGTGCTCTAAACCTGTGTCAAATTTCATGGAGATCCGTTCAGCCGTTTAAGCTACAAACGCTAACAAACATCCATCCATCCGTCCATCCATCTAAACTTTCGCATTTATAATATTTGTAAGAAGTAAGATTAGTAAGATTTGAAGCGGTTATTGGACGTCATAATTGCTTATTGGTCGCTTCAGTTATCGTATCTACTAAAAAAAAGCATCAGATGCTAAGAATTTAAACACTGATACATTCAGATTATTTTTATAAATGTTAAAATAATATTCTAAAGACATATTTACAATATTACAATTTGAAGTGACGGAGATTAACAACCATTTCGTTGTTTGTGTCCCAATTTTGGGTACTGCTTGCAAAATAAAAAAAAAAACAATTGTTACTTTCAGGACTTTAATATTAAGTTGTCTATTTTATTGTTTATTAGCTTTCGCCCGCGACTCCGTCCGCTTCGTATTAAAAAAAAATAAAGTAGCCTCTGCGTTCTTCCAGACTATCATCTACATCTGGCCAAAAATTTTCGAGATCCGTTCAGCAGTTGAGGCTATCTCTAACAAACATCCATCCATCTATCTGAACTTTCGCATTTTTAGTAACTAGCTGTTACCATGCGGCTACATCCGCAGGTGTTTGTAAAACCTTCATTTTTTCGTTTACATTTATCAATTTATTAATAGCAAATGTCAAAATGACATGACATGACAAACCTTGACAATCTTGCTTCCTTGATGTTGGTAGCAACTTATAGTCTCTTTCCCACATTAGGGTTTTTATCCAATTTATTTACCAACTAAATTTAATATCGTGTAAATGTATAGCCTAAAGCGTGAAGTAAGTTTAGGGTTTTTTATTAAAAAAAAGTTATTTAAAAACATGCTGTAATTGCTGACATCTTAGGAAACAAAGAAGTGTGTGTTTACGTTTTATTATATTAGTACAGATATAAAATAGTAATGGTTTGCAATTTCGATACTCGTAAATTCAAATAATATTAAATATAAAATCAAACATTTATATTTGGAAAATACAAAATCATATCGGAAATAAATCCCTGAATTCGAAGCTCATAGCAAGCTCAATGACGTAGAAAATATTGTATGTCGAAGGCATGTGCAAAATTCAATGCAAGTCAAAGCGGGGCAGGGCAGCGTTCAGGGCACACTGTCTCCATTCCTTTGATGCCGGCCTCATTTTGCATATTGCTCGAATATTTTTTAAAACTACAATATTCTTGGCAAATACAAACGATGTTTTTGCACT